ACAGTTGAAATCCTGCTGGAAAAGGTTGAGGGGAGATCCTGACGTGCAGGGACACCCACTGGGGGGGTGGGGATGGGTGGCAGGCAGACGTTGGCCAAGGGGAGCTCCCGTTGAGCCCACGCTCTTCATCTCTCCCATTCCACTGATGGTGGGGTTCAGAGGTGGGGGAAGAAGGCGTCAAGGCACAGGGACGTTGGGGATAATCCTCTGCTTGGCCCCTGGCTGACGGTTGCTCTCCTCACCCCCTCCCGTCGTGGCCCCCCGGGCAGGTACCGGGCGGTGGCCTCCTGGAGCCGGATCCAGGGGATTGGGATCCCCCTGTGGAAGGCAGTGGAGGTGATGCTCATCTGGCTGGTGGCCGTCGTCCTCGCCGTGCCCGAGGCCATCGCCTTCGACGTGGTGGAGCTCAGCTACTGGGAACGCCACCTGTGGGTCTGCATGCTCGCCTCCGAGCAGGGGTCCCGCTTCATGATGGTAGGTGCCCATCCCCAGTGTCCCGGTTAGAAGGCAGAACTGTGTCCCACCTCCCTTATCCCTCAGTTTCCCAGATAAAGAGGTAGATAAGGAAGGCAGGGGGAATGAAAACCTTGCACCAAATTGAAGATTAACAAAATGAAATATATTATTTAACAGGGATCAGAAAGGAAGAAGGGAAGGGGTTTAACAGGGTACAGAAAGGAAGAAGGGAAGGGGTTTAGGTGAGGTGGATTGTAGGAACAACAAGGTAAGGAAGATTAAAGTTCCAAATATACAAAACCCAAATGCTGTGCTGAGGCTCCCCGGTGCTGGATCTCGCTGGATTGAGGTGGATTGAAGCTGGATGCACAATCCTTGGACGTGGATGGAGGCAGGGAAGAGTCTGTAGATCAGGCCCAGGTCTCCAAGATGGCCACGGCCACGTGTAGCACAGGGAGCAGCAGAGCAGCGTGTGCCCAGGTGCAAGGTCAAAGGAGCAAGAGGAAAAGAGAAGAGGAAGAGAGCAAGGCGTGCCTTTCTCCCCTTTTTATAGACCTTGGCAGGAAGTCCCGAAGACAGGAAAAGGGCAGTGGGAATAGGACAGGTGTACGCCCCTTTCATTCAGGCCTGTACCTGGTTTAGGGTTTCAGATCTCCACCCACCAGGGGCAGCAGGTTCCAAACCATTACACCCAGCACCCTCCCTCCTTCCTCGGGGCATCAGGAGCTTCTGCAGGGGGGGCTTCATCCAGTCCAAGAGCCAGCACGGCGGGGAGGTGGGGCCAGAACGCAGGCAGCGGGCCCTGGACCGTGCAGCAAAGCTTGGGTGGGGTGGAAGGGACCCTCAAAGTCATCTAGTTCCAGCCCCTCTGACACCCCCCACTCAACCACGTTGCTCAAAGCCCCCTCCAGCCTGTCCCTGAGCACTTCCAGGGAGGTGCTCAGCCGTGTGGTGTCTTCACTGTCCACACCAGGTCATGACACATCTCATGGAGCTTCAGAAGCTGCTCCCCTGTCCCAGCAGCCCAGGGGCTGGGTCAGTCCTTTCCCCAGTTCCCAGCTGCTCTCTCCTTTGCACGCAGTTCTACCGTGATGTCAAGGACTGGTGGCTTTTTGGCTTCTACTTCTGCCTCCCCTTGGTGTGCACGGGCATCTTCTACACCCTCATGTCATGTGAGATGCTGAGCAAGAGGAACGGCATGAGAATCGCCCTGAACGACCACATGAAACGGGTAAGAACGCCAGCAAGGCAGAGACTCTGCTCTTCCCAGGGAGGAGGGAGGGCTGGGGAGGGGAAGAGTCCCTCTGAAGGACACGTAGGAGCTCACGTGGCCTCACGGTGGTCAGCAGATATTGGACTAAACCAAGGAGATTGGGCCTTCAGCTCTGAAATCTCCAGTCTCAGGGACAACCCCGACCACTGGCCACGAACCTGCTTCATTGAGCAAGGCAGAGACTCTGCTCTTCCCAGGGAGGAGGGAGGGCTGGGGAGGGGAAGAGTCCCTCTGAAGGACACGTAGGAGCTCACGTGGCCTCACGGTGGTCAGCAGATATTGGACTAAACCAAGGAGATTGGGCTTTCAGCTCTGAAATCTCCAGTCTCAGGGACAACCCCGACCACTGGCCACGAACCTGCTTCATGGGTCATCTATCTCTGGCCGTGCTGCTCCAGCCCAGCTGACACCAAACTGGCCCAGCTGCTGAAGGTGCCACCCCAGAGCCGAGGGGTGCGGGGGCAAGAGGAGCTTATTGCCCCCTCCCTCAGGCTGCAGAACCACCCCTTGGGGCAGAGCAGCTGCTTGGCACAGCGCTGCAGCGCGGAGGCCCCGGGGAGCAGCACCCCAGCGGGGTCACCAGGAGGATTGGTGGGAAGGAGCTGGGGGAAAGCATCACTCCAGCTGCTCCTCCATGCTCAGGCAGAGCTCCTCACCCTTCCCCACCCTTCCCCACCCCTCCCTGCAGCGCCGGGAGGTGGCCAAGACCGGGTTCTGCCTGGTGGTGATCTTCGCGCTCTGCTGGCTGCCCCTCCACCTCAGCCGCATCCTCAAGAAGACCATCTACGACCAGATGGACCCCAACAGATGTGAGCTGCTCAGGTAGGGCCCTGGCTGCTGCTGGGCTCGTCCCCCGGGGGCTGCTGGGGTTGATTCCCAAGCACCTCCTCGGGGTGGCCCCTCCTCGACGGCGTCGCGCTGCTGACGGGCACAGGGGAAGGGCGAGAGGGGATGTGTGAAGGGAAGAAGCTGAGTGTTGAAATACCCTCCCAAAGCTGGGGGTTAAAGAGGTGTCCTGGGCAGAGGAACCTTCCCTGCAGGGCTGGGGGTGCAGCATGTCACTCAGCAGGTCCCCCTTCCCCTCTGTTCTTCACCCATCGTGCCAAAATCCAGCTCAGATGCCTGAGTTTGAGGACAGCGAGGGCACCAGGGGAAATCAGATCTCATGGTCTTGGTTTCTTCTGGAAATGCTCCTCAGAAGCAGAATTGCTGCTCAGTTGTCCCACTGCAGGAGGAGGGGAGCTTTGTGCCCCCCTCCATGGAAGCAGGTTCCCAGGCAGGAGTTTTGGAAACCATGCCTCTGTTCTCTGCCAGCTTCCAAGGCACCTCTCCCCTCCCTCCTCTCTCCTCAGCTTCCTCCTGGTGATGGATTACTTTGGGATCAACATGGCCTCCCTCAACTCCTGCATCAACCCCGTGGCTCTCTACTTTGTCAGCAGG